ACTTTCCTGAGGGCTTTCCTGACTTCAGGCTCTCTCATCCCACATAGAATGTGCAGGAAAGGGGAGCGACACGTGAAATTTGCTACAGTGCCCAAAACCTTTACAATAGCACATGGCCCCTTGAGACCATTTCAGAGCCCCCTCTCCCAGACACATTTGTGGAGCTCTCACTTCCCCAAGATTAACAACAACTTCAGAGTACAAGACCATTGGTTTTAATATGCGGATTTGGTTTCAGAACAGTGCCATTGGTCTTCAGGGCTTAAACTTCATCTGATTTGCTTCATCTCTGCAACAGAGCGATTTCAGTGTTTCTCTTTTTGTTGGCTCACTCAATCAGTATGTCCTGAGCAATACTCAAGAGCAGCTCCATAAAACTGTTCTCAACTTTTCCTTTTGTTGCTGCTTTTCTAGTAATGTTTACCTAAGGGAAGGGACAGGTTTAAATACATGTTTTGTTGGAACAGGACCCCACTGAAAGACACTGACAATCATGGCTAGAGCAAGTTTAGGCCAGTAAGTGCAAAGACACTTGTATCAGTGAGCATGGCATTCACTGACTCAGTAACTTGCACATGTCAGATGAGAATAATGCTCTAGTTCCAGGTAACCAGGGAAAATGAGAAACATTGGCTTGCATTGTCAAAGCGGTGAGCCTACTGCTGTCCTGCACTGCCTGCCACCATCCCATGTTACCACATGCCCTCCTTAAACAGCTCTGCTCTTAGGATCAGTACAACTGTCATTGTCTCAGAGCAATTCTGTTCTCTGTGTAGACAGCACACAGACAAGAGCAGCTGCAAGTACTCATTACAACCATTTACATGGGGTATGAGGGGAAGGCACTTTCCCAAAACTAGCCACTAATGTCCCTTGCACAAGCAAGCATGTCATGATGCGAGAGATACCTTGAATACAGAGATGCAGGGAAGGGTACGGTGACTAAGCTGTGGGATTGTTAAAGATGAGCTGGCTCAGACTAAGAGGTAGAAACTCCAAAGCATACAGACTCAAAATAATCCCCAGGCTAGCAGTGGCATCAGCTCCATTTTAATGGCCAGACTCTACAAGTCAAAAGGTCAAGGACTTCTCTTTATAATTTATCCCATCCAGAGAGCTGTAAATTACTGTGCTAATAAGTAAAATTGCAGATGCATAAATGGTGTAATCCTAGGGGGTTACATCTCATGTGTAACTGACCTTCACGAACCAGATTTTCTGGAAGTGTTTGATGAATTATTTATAAATGCACCCCTGGCATTTTCTATTATAAACTCCAGACATCTGATTCCTTGATGTCCTCAAGAGAACAGACCCTGTTTATACACGCACTGCATAGCAAGTGACAAATAAGCAGTTGGCAAAAAGCGACAGACAACACTCTTTTATTATTTCTAATAAACCAACAGTCACTTAATCAATCCCTGTTTGAATGCAGATCTCTGCCTACCTCTCTCTGCAGATTGATATCTGCTCCTTGCAAGACCAATTCACGTACGCAATCTATGTGGCCATAGTAAGATGCTACCATCAGGGCTGTTGTGCCAAGCTGAGAGTAAAGAAAAACAAGTCAGTACCTTCAAAAGATGCCTCCAGCAATGTATCAGGCTGTCTGGAAGAGATAGCACCTCTTCTGAAAAGCTGAAGGAAGCTTATGACCATTTAAAAACTTATTTAAAATTTACTATCAGGAATACTTTGGAAATGAGGAATTAGCAGGTGTTAAAGCAAAAACATTGCAGACTTGCCTACAGTGCTAAAGCCTAACTATTCAACACATACATGTGCAATGAGTTCTCCCTATTGTGCCAAAGTATAAACAAAAATAACAATACTTTCAATATATACACAGCATTTTACCAGAGAATCTCAAAGATCTTTGCACCATTTCCAGAAGAATAACCTTAGACACAGGAGCTGAGTGACTTAGCTGAGTCACTTAATTGTGAGTCATAGTCAGGAGTAAGGTCAGGGTGATTCAATACTAATTCCCTATCCAAATGATAAGAGCAAACTCACTCTGTGACTCTTCACACTACATGAGAGAACTTTCCGTACCAGAACTATGTGTTCAGTTCCCTCAGTACCCCATAAGATCACTGCTCCAGTGAACCAAATAAGATTTAGGTTATATGTATGTGATGTATGGACAATATACAGAAACCACATGCATAACAATGAAATTCATCCTTCTAAAACATTCACACACACCAGTTTAATCTAAATAAGGAATGTGTGACATTACAAAAAAGAACCATGCAGCCTGAATCCTACAAAAATATTTTAGTCTAGAAAATGTGTATGCCTGATACAATTAAAAGTCAGGATATTTTACAATGTATTATAAAAATTCTTGATCAAGGTTAGCCTTATTTTGAGGAAAAAATGATCAGTAGTGGACCTTATTTCTTTACATTGATCTTTGTCCTGCTTACTTCATGCCCTCATCTGAACAACCTTCCCCCCCTATCAGAATGACACTCATAGCATCAGCTCCAGAACTACTGCAGGACAAACACTTGGGTACAGGGCACTTTGAAGGTATTCAGAGTGAGAGAAGCTGCAGCAGGTTCATGTTTCAGGCTGGAAATGGCACTAATCCTGTACAACACAGGCACAACTCTTAGTAAGTCAGCCTCAGCACCAAAAAAACCTGGCAACTTCTCAAGCCTGGTTTTCCCCCGCTCTTTGCTATAGCTTAGCACAATCAAGTATCTCTCCTTATGTTGTAGGCAGAATAGCAAGGCATACCCATTATCTGTGTTTTCAACCCATTTCTTATCTCAAAACTAATTTAAACCCATGCCAGTTACAGTAAGGAAATCCCCATGAAATATTTCTTTCACATGTCTGGGCTCTTTGCTTGGAAATTGTACTGTCTTCATGTTTGTGCCAAGTCCAGGAGATACTGGGGGGGGTGGGAGGAAGAAGTTAGCAGGCCAGCAGTTCTGACGGCACTGCTGGGTGTAGGACACTGCATGCCACACAGGGTGGGAATGGCTGCACATCAAATGAAAACTTTTACACTGTCTAAATGGAAACTGTGGACCAGGGTTATTTTTTTTCAAAACTAATTATGAGGAGCTCTGCTAGCTGACAGAATCATTGCTGCTTGGGCTCAGTTGAGTCGTGTCTTCACCATGATCTATTGCTACAATGACATTTCCTCGCAAAGAGAAGCCTGAGGTGCTAGGATCTGTGTTTTTAATGTCAGCACCACAAATAACTGTGTAAGACACATTTTTGAGTGCTGGCAAATTCTTAACCCCTTGCCACTGATGTAAATCATCATGCTATTTTATCTTGAGTTTCAAACTTGCTTCCTGACAAGAGAAGGTTTTAAATCATCCCTGAGTGCCAAAATACTCTCAAATGTCTTGTGTTAGATCCCTGCCACACCCTTGGTGCAGCAGGCTATGGAAAGCAATGTAAGATCAGTGCAGTGGGTGTATGTGCATTGTGTGCATACGCTGTCCTTGCAGTCCACGTCTACTCGCCCACTGTTCAGCAGCAGCTGGAGGAGAGCCAGGTTTCCTTTTCTTGCAGCCCAAAATGCAGCATTGGCAAGTGGTGTTTCTTTCTGGTGAAACAAAACGAAACAAAACAAACCAACAACAAATAAAACCCTTTGAAGATGCATTGGACAAACACACACAGGCAAATTCTGCATTCAGGCCAGGCAAGTTTCAGATTAGCATGCTGTTCTTTCAAAATCAGAGCATGGGAGAGAAGCTAATTTAATTTATTTGTGGAATTAAAGAGGTCAGTCTCCCTGTGCTACCTCATGTTGTTTCAGGTCTTCCCTGTGTCCATGGCAGCCTATGACTCTTGCCTTGCTCTGTAATGAGAGACACTGATGCTAGTCCAGATCCACAGGGAAACATCACAGAAAACAACACGCTAACTGATACCTGTATGATCTGCTTCTGTGCTGGGGCTGGGCACAGTTAGAGGCTGAATCATCCCGCTGACATATCCCGCTGCAGGACATGCTCCTGGGTCTCAGGATAGCTCTCTGTCATCTCCTTCTTTTCTGGATATACAGTCCCAATACAGGAAAAATATTGTTCACCCATCTGCCATACTGTTTATTCTACCTCCTCCCTGGAACTAACACCCTGTAACTGTAGGCACATGAGATATTTCCTGGATCATGCTAGAAAAAAGGGCTAAATTTTTGCTGTCTATAGACTTACAGATTCATTTACTAGGTACGCAAGGCGGTATGTAAGGCAAAATTGGGAAACTGAAATCTCGATAACACAGGACACTTATACACATTGGTAGTAGTATAATACTCTTTTAAGTCTTTCTTAGTCCTAGAAACAATACTATGGTGCCTCTTCTCCTGGGCAGGAGCAATTTATCACTGCCCCAGCACAGGAGGACAGCAGAAAAAGACACAGACGTTGCTCCTGATGTCTCTATCTGATCCATGCAGGCAGCTGCCAAAATGCTGTCCTGACAGGTCAGCACTGCTACAGGTGAAGTGCAGAGGGGAAACAACACTGTGATGGCAAAGGTGGGTATCCTAGAGTAGGCTTATGCCACTGATTTTTTAATAAGACCCAAACCATCAAGAATTCAGTAAAACATCATTTCACTGACAGTCATCTTAGACCAAAACAGTGTGAAAAATACCCAGGGGCCTTGCTCTCCAGTGAATCCTACCTTCAAGGTAACCCAAAGAGAGTGCAGAGTGGATGTGAAATGCAATCATTCTGCTTCAGAAAATGTAATACATACTTCTCCATGTCTAAATGTCAATGAGCACATGTAATGTGGTAAAGAATTGGAATTGAATGGTTTTTATGGTTGATGCTTAAAACGCATGCATAGAATAGAGTTTAAATTGCTTCCTTCACTGACACACAAGTAATAAGCTTTGCAGAAACCATCATACACAAGACCAATCCTGTGTGAATCTTTCCCAGATCCATTGCACTGAGCACTTCCCATGGGTTGCATTTTTAATATTCATAGGTTGGAAAATTGGCAGCTGTTTGAGATGAGAGAAGCTTCAAATATTCAATAAATTATAAGACATTTCCTATAAATTGATAGCAATAATTCTTGCACCAGCACACAAAGGGGCAGGAGTCTGAAAAAATTAGCAAGCACAGGAGGCTAAATTCTAATCTTCCTTTTACAGCTAATACATTTCCCCTGCTGAATCTGTGGATAATGTTGATCAAAGTAGGGCTAGCAGTTTATACCCTCCTTGCTGAAAACGCAGTAGTGTTTTTCTGTCTTTACCCTTACAACCACTAAAATTTTATGTAAAAGCAAACAGTTGACCTAAACACACAGTGGTGCATGTTGCCCCTTTTGCTCTGATTTATTAGGCAGATATTTATTTATAGAGCTGGTAGTTAGGAATATTATCTTACTGTGTTTATATTATGATATTCAGTGGAAAGCTATTGCAAAAGAATGATATTTAGATCTTACAGAATGGGAAATCAAATTCCTTACCTTTTATTGTTTTACTCTATCACTCAAAGTTTCAGAAAGCTTTGGGGTATGGCAATATATCCATACAGGGAAAGATTTATTTCATCCAGCCCCATTTTCACTACAAGGGCACAGTAGCAATGTGACTGCATTTTATTATGCCTACCATACATACAACACCACCTTTATCAATCAGGTAGGCAGGAACTGGAATCAATATTCAGGAGCTCTTTACCTGCTTTCAGCAGATTACACGAGGAGAGAAGAGAACTAAGTTTCCAGTGTTACCAGTGTTACCCTAGTCTGGAAGTAGAAGTCCAAAGTCTTTAGCCTTATGAGTCATAAATTCCTACCTCTTTTTTTCCCCCCCTGTCATTCCTATAGTACTTTCCAGCAAAGTTGCTCTCATACTTTGCATCAGATCCAAGGTATGGAAGAATTCTCCAATGCATCAAGGACATGAAATCAGGTTTTCCCAGTGGTGCTTTTGACCCAGCTAGGAATGACTGCTATCAGTACTTGTACTTCCCCTTGTGCCCCCGCATTGCTGGGGATTCCTTGCATAACAGTAGCGTATACAGCACATTTAGACCATCAACAATGCAGTAATTAGATAAAAAAAGTAACTAGAAATCAGCTATTTTACCTGCTAAAATGAAAGGAATGTGCAAAATCATTTAAACGATCAGGGCACTCTACAAGGACAGCCACGAGCAGTACTATGGAGCAATTTCTCTTCTGCTTTCAAACCATGGGTTTATACCTCTGAGCTCTTAATTTTCAGGTGATATCAGCAATACTGACATCACTAGCAGGCAAAATGTAAGACACTACTTTGGGATTAATAGTCTGATTAACTGAATAATTTTGGAGCAATAAATGGGTTTTAAACTGCAGGATATGACATAAGCCTTGACTGCTGATGTTCAGTTATGAATTAAATCTTATCTCACCAGGTACTTCTTAGGGAGAAGTAATGTTGAATTTCAAGATATTAGCTGGATACAATTTTCATGTAATTTTTACTATAAAGCTAGTCTGGTCCTAAAAACTCCTTAAAGTAAACAACTGACCCTCAGCATTGACATTCCAGAAACAGAATCATAGAATCATAGAATGGTCTGGGTTGGAAAGGACCTTAAAGATCATCTAGTTCCAAGCCCCCTGCCATCAGCAGGGACACCTTCCACTAGACCAGGCTGCTCAGAGCCTCATCCAACCTGGCCTTGAACACTTCCAGGGAGGAGGCATCCACAACAAGGTAAAACAAGGAGGCCAAAAAAGAAGAAGAAGACAGGAAGAATATACCAGAAGCATGGGGCTAGAATCTGTTAGGGTGGATGCCTGCGAGAAATGAAGGTGGGAAAAACTCATGGAGACAGAACGGAGGGACAGAAGAGACTAAGTATAAGGAAAAGAAAACGGAGGCAGGAGGTCAATAAAGGACCAAAAAGGGGATGATCACAGAGATTTCACCACCCAGTGTAAGGCTCAGCTGTACTGTGAGCAAGGGTACCCTGCTCCCTACCACACCAGGGCTTTAACTGCAGGTGGAAACCACCTGGTGCACCACCATCCAACTGACACACTGCCACCACAGTACCAACGCTCCTGGGGAGGGATGTGCTGACAGGAGTGAAAGGCAAGGACAGGGAATAATCCATCAAATAAAGCAATGCAACACAAGCAACATGGCAAAGCACTGGCACAGAGCTGGTGATCAATAAGAGAAGGGCAAGCACAGCATCCAGAAAGTGCATAACTGAGGAGATGTAGTACATCTAGCATCAGTATCACCCATTAGCATCAGTAAATTGCTGCTTGCTTCCCTATTTGCCAACTGATTTTATTAATCCTAGCCTCAGATTAAAAAACTTATTTTAGGCAATCTTTTGAAAATTACTGCTCTTGCATGGTTTTGATGGAGGAAGTACAAAAGCAACGGGAATCACAGAGAGAGAAGGGAATGAGCCAGCCTGGCTTCAGCGGCCACCACAGCCTGAACCGAGGCGCAGGGATAACCGCTGCCTTCCAACCGTTACACAACCGGCACCAGCAGAGATGATGGAGAAAGTGAAGAGGAGGCTCCCGGCTGCAGCAAACCCCGCAGCGCTGAGCCCGACCACCCTAAAGCCGGGGCAGAGCTCCCTGGGGGTTCCCACTTTATGTAACAGGAACCACCATCCTTCTGGGGATGTCAGCTGTGGGAAGCACCCGCTTCATCAGCTGCCAGCGCAGCACGCCCGGGGCACCCCGTAACCCGGGAAGGACGTGCCTGTTTTCTTTCCTTCCGCCCTAAGCCACCCTCGTTTTTCCTAAAAAAATAAATCGATCCTTAAACCCAAGAACATGACGGAGCATCTCGCGGGCCGCCGGCACGGTAAGCACAAAG